TTTTGACAATTAATGACCTGACAAAAACACTTCCCGAACAGATCCTCTGTCATCCTCATGTATTGTACCTTGCTCAACTACACTGGACCAATGGACCTAATCATAATACATTTCTTCTCAACCTATCCCAAATGAACTAAAGACGGCCACTCAACTAGATTCTGAATGAACCCTCAATTGCTCTTGATAATCCAGCTAAGCTATGGGATCGATGTGTAGGTTGTAACATTAACAAATTATTCAGTGGCGTCTAGCCATGCAGGACTGGCCTGCAACACTGACCACTGTTGTAAAGGAGAGCCGACACAAGATTGCAGGGGGTTCGTCTTTTAAGCCTTTTCTCCCATCCACACCTGTCCCCAGCCGTCCCAATCTCGTTCCCGCCAAAAGGCCCCTTCTTCCCGCCCGTTCTCCCCTTATATCTCGTCGATTGCCCCTCCCACTAATCCTCCTATTGGTGGGAATCCTTCGCATCCCGTAACAGCCCGGACATCCACAGGCAGCAGATGACCGTGGTGGCCCCCTCCTTCGAAGGCCCTCTCGTCGCGGTCCCTGGTTCAGTGGCGCCGGTGTCGCCTTGCCTGGTGCCGCTGTCTCTCCAGCCCCCGTGGCCCCCAGTCGTGCTGCTGCTCCGTTAGGCCTCACATGGGGCGCTGTAGGTGACAAGGGAACACAGGGCACCGAACCTCCTGCCGGTCGGCGCGTGGTGGTTGGCGACCTTGGCCCGGGTAGGGATGATGATGATGCTGCCGGTGATGATGGTGGAGATGATGGTGGAGAGATGTATGGCTTAAGACGGGTGGGGTGTACAAACCATCATCGCTTACCCAGTTGGACCTGGACGCACTGCGGTTGGAGTGCTTTAATGACCTCGACCGGCCCTTTCCAGGGTCGGTGCAGCTTTGGTGAGAGGCCAACCGGCACCTGAGGACAGTGTAGCCATGCCTGGTCCCCGACTTTAAAGGGCTTGGTTGTCACTGTACTCTCCCGTATCCATACATTACTCTCTTGGCTCGTGGCCGATGCGGCCTCCGCTGCTTGGCGGGCCTCTCTCAAATAAATGAGGGAGGTCTTTAGTGCCTTTGGCCATGCATCAGCTCTTGCGAGAATGTCTGTCAGCTGCACCTCAATAGGCAGATGGGATTCCGTCCGTACATCAGGAAAAACGGCGAGAACCCCGTTGCCGCGTGCGGGGCCACCCTGTACAACGCTAAGACCAACGGAATGTGGAGGTCCCAGTCGGAGTGGTTTTCGTCCACCACTTGGGACAGCATGGCCGCTATGGTGCGGTTAAGCCGCTCCACCATCCCATCGGTCTGTGGATGATACGGAGATGTTCAGACCTTTTTAGTGCCCAGGATAGAGCAGACGTCCTTCAATAGCCGAGAGGAGAAATTCCTGCCCTGATCCGTGAGCAACCGCTCTGGTGCCCCCTTATCAAGGATATAGCCTCTCACGAAGGCATCGGCGATGGTCTGTGCCGTTTGGTCTGGGAGGGCCCACACCATCGGCCACCTCATGCAGTACTCGACCCCAACCAACAGGTATTTATTTTCCCGTGGCGTGACCGGCAGTGGTCCCAGGATGTCCAACGCAACCAATTCGTTGACCCTGGTCACCGTGATGGGCTGTAAGGACGCCCGGCTTACCCGGGGTGGTGGCTTTCGCCGCGCACATTCGACGCAGATAGCGACCCATCGGTGCACGTCAGCGGTCATGCCTGGCCAAAAGTACCGACCCTGTAATGTGTACAGTGTCTTCCGCCCCGCCAGGTGCAGCAGCTGGTGGCCGTGTACGTCCATAACCAATTGTTGACGCAGCGACTCCGGAACTACCAGGCATCGCCGGTGCCCTGCCGGGTCCCATCGCATGAGGAGGTCCTCCCATACGATGTACTCCTCCCCCCCTGCCTCTGCTGAGGCACGTCACATTCACAGTGGGGCTTCCTCCAGCTGTAGACGTCTCCAATCGTCCAAGGTCAGCCCCAGGTCGTGGTCGGTCAGCTGGACCTCACCCTGTGTGTCCTCCGCCGTGCGTACAGGAGCGATGACCGTCCCCTCCGGCCTCGCCTCCTTGCAGCGTGCCCCGCCTGTGGTGCATGCACAAGGGCCCTGGGGTGCCAGTCGGGACAATGTGTCTGCGTTGGCGTGTCTGGTCCCTTTGCGATGCACCACTTGGTACCTGTACTCCTGCAGGCGCTCTATCCACCTGGCCAGCTGGCCCGAAGGCTGGTCGATGCGGAGCGAATACTGCAAGGCCGCATGGTCAGTGCGGACCATACATTTGCAACCATACAGGTAGGGTCGGAATTGCTGCACGAAGTGAACGACTGCCAGGAGTTCCCTATGTGTGACGCAGTAGCGCTGCTCCGCTGATGAAAGCACGCGACTACCGTAGGCGATAACCACCTCCCGACCCTGCTGGACTTGCGACAAGACACTGCCGATGCCCACATCGCTGGCGTCCGTGTCCAGAATAAAGGGAAGGCCAAAATCCGGAAAGGCCAATGGTGGTGCATCTATCAGATGCGAGCGCAGCTGCTGGAATGCCTCTTCATCTAGAGGGCCCCAATAAAACCTCTGGTTCTTCACCATCAACACGTGCAAGGGCTTGGCAATGGTTGCGAAGTTAGGTACAAACCGGCGGTAGTAAGAAACGAAACCCACAAACCGGCGTACCTCTGGAACCGTTGTGGGAACAGCCCAGGCCCTCACGCAGACCGTCTTTTCCGGGTCTGTAGCCACTCCACACTCACTGACGATGTGGCCCAAGTAGCGCACCGACGACTGCATAAGGTGGCACTTCGACGGCTTGAGCTTCAAGTTCGCGTTCCGGAACCGCAGGAATACCTGACGTAATCGGTCAATGTGTTCCTCGAATGATCGGCTGAAGACGGGCAGCGCTACTGGCGCTGGGACATGAGGCATACCCACTCGTGCGTGAGGGGACGCTCGACCTTCGAGTGACGGAGAGGCTGCAGGGCCTGGCCAGGAGATTGAGGGTTTCCCTGCTCTCCGCCGCCGGCACAGAAATTTCATCCTCAACGGTGGTCAGGAAGATTCAGGTCTTCGTGGAGCAACAGCAGTGGGCAAGATGGGAGGCCACAACATGGAGCCTGCAAGATATGGTGGCGGTGGTGGAGGGCAGGGGGGCTCAAGCATCAACACCCTTGCAGGAGGACCCGCGGCAGGGACAGCTCCCTCTGCCTTGGAGACCCGAGCCCAACTGCTTCATGTTTGGTTTATCGGGCCACACTGCTGCAGAGTGTCGGGGTGATGAGTAGGCATCTGGAGAATCACCCGTGTTCGTTGGGCCACCGGCATAGTCAACTCAAGCCCCGTTGGACCGGGTCTCTGAGGCCTACCCAGACTGCCAAGTGCGAGGTCTCGGAGACCGGACCTGAGTGGGCAATGCCGACTGGTGAGGTGCCATGCCCTTTGAGCCGAGGACCCCGTCTCCATCATCTCTTGGCCCTTCGGTCCCAGAGGTGCAGTACCCCGCTGGGACGGGGGTGACCGGTGCCATGGACTGGATCACGTGAGCTGTGTCCCCGAATGGAGGGACTCTCCTTTGCACTGAGAGGGGATCCAAGGGTGAAGGCGTGTTGGGGCTAACAGCCTGGGTTAAAGGGAAATTGAGGTGGTGTGCCGATTCGCCAGTTCAGGAGCACCGCGCGTGTGTGGGGTGTCGCCGATTCGCGGATGGAGGTCCCTGTGGGAGAGTTGCTGATTCGCGAGTTTGGGGACATTGCGTTCGGGGGAGTGTTGGTTTATTATCGGAGTGGGGGGGGGGGGACCGGGGAGCAGAGGAATGTGTCGTTAATTACGGAGGATGCCGCGGTTGTAGTGGGATGTGATGAAGTTTATTTTATTTTATCGGCTGTGAACACATTCCGATGCTGACATTTTTGGGGGGGGGGTCGTTTGTTCTGTCGGGAAGTGAAGAGGACAGACCAAGGCTCTGTAGGACTACTCCCTGTATAAGCGTGGGGATCTGTGTGAGTGTGAATATGTTTGTGTAACTCTGTTTGGTTGTTGTTACCCCATACTGGACACTTACTGGACACTTGAGCCTCATAGCTTGGATTGGCCCATCCAGTAAAAATATATAAATGTCGTGATTCTGATTCCACTCCCCCTACCCAAGATGTCGGCTTCATCCCCCCCCCCTACCAAAGATGGCAACATATTCCTCTCTCAATATGTACATGGTGTAACCACAAAGTGTACCCGCACAATGTACACACACAATCCATACACTCACTATACACACACACACAGTATACACACTAAACACACACGATGTATACACAAACAGTATACACTCACTATACACACAGTATACACACTCACTATACACACAATATATACACACAATGTATACACACAGTATACACACAATATATACACACAATGTATACACAGTATATACACACAATGTACACACACAGTGTACACACTATACACACAATAATGTTCACGTTGTTGTTGTTGTTGAACTCACGCACTCAAGGGTTATCTGTTCAAGAGAGGGAGCAATGGAAAAGGAATCTAAACAAACTTGAACTCTAACCCCGCACTCTCGCTGTCACCACTCCACATGACCTCATCCGCGTCTGACGCCAGAGGGATGCAAACCCCGCTAGTGACGTCATCTCACCAAGCCCCCCCCCGCAACGCGCTCTGTAGCGTGACGTCACGTCTGATCACTGCTAATTTCCGTTACGGTAAAATCCTTATTTGGGCAAAGCTACGCCAAGTCCCTGGCGAATCGTTAACATAATTTATTCATAAATACCGTCGCGAGTTTATTGCTACCGGTTCAGCAGCCACGTCCCATCCCTCGACATGGGCCCGGTTAGTTAATTAATTCAGTTACACCGCCACTATTTGGGGGAGGAGAGAGTATCCCACAAGTGACGTCATGTCACCTGCTGCCGCGTGACGTCACGGGAGTCCAGGAAGGTGCCGCTCAGCACTCGCTGAGATCGGAGGTGAGAAGTTCACGTCGTGGTTGTTGTTGTCGTGGTTGTTGTTGTGGTTGTTGTTGTTTACCCAGGTAGAGCCTCGCTCCTCCCCCTCCTCGGGATGTCAATTGAGGAGCAGCGAGTATGGAATCGATGTCCAGGCTGGAACATTACAACGCGGGGCCTAGACATGCGGGGTCTTGCCTCCTGCCCTCGCCTGATTGCACTTGCTTTAATTCTCTGCTTAAGTTTAATTTGTCCTCGCCTGGCTCGCTACTTTGAAACTTTTTTTATTCGAAAAATTTCCACGTTTTTTATATCACCAAGCCAAGCCCACTTGAGCTATACCGCTCTTTTTCAGAAGCGACCTGCCCACAACAAAGTGGCTTATCAACGTTTGGAAATGTAAATCAGCCAAATACTCTAAACGCGTGGTGATGTTGACTCTAAATGCGGAGGGAAAAAACGGAGGATCCGGAGGAAAATCCACGCGAGAGACACGCAAAATCCAGATATACATCTATAATATCGGTTTGTTTGGGTTAGATCGCGTAAAATCTAAACGTGTCGCTAAACCCGCCACCACCCGAACACAGGCAACTAGTAAGGGTTGTCACGTAAACATAACGTGGCCAATTCGTGACTAGTACAGCACACCGGTTGTGTGTTGCAGAGCCAAGCCACAACATTTACAATCTGAGTACGACGTTTCGTCATTAATTACAACCAGCTTCATCAGGCGAGAGCCACATGTTGTGGCTTGGCTCTCGGAATATAAAAAGGGTCGCAGGGTTTATATCGCAGCACGCTAACCGTTGCACTACCGCTCCCCACTCATGCACAACATTATCATCCGAAGTATAGTTTTTATTCAGGACCAGCTAAGTTACCCGGCTTCGCACGGGCGTCAGTAATCAAACATGAAGGGTAATATCTAGCCATGCTGGATTTATTAGAATTATTGAATTCTGCCAATAAAAGTCGATAAATGTGTGTATTTTGTCACTGTTTTTTGGTTGTGTTATACATTCGCAGGACTTGTTTGCTTCATAATGAGGACAACATTTACATTTGTTACCCTAGGAGACCTTCAGACAGACGGTGATTGATGTTTGCCATCTGGTGGGTTTAATCGAATGAAGCTTCAATTTTGGCATACATGTCGACAGAAAAATTGGTGGAAGAGCTCTTTACATCTCAAGAAGAGATTGAAGCTGGCGTTTTGCACCATGACCCTGAAGGCAAAGAAGTCCATTGCGAAAACCTTCTTTTGTGTTGGCAAGCCTGTTGCTGGGTCAGTTTGGCGAAGTATAAAATGGTAACCATCATCACCTTGCCAGAAAATCAGTGGACATTGAAGAGCATCATAAGATCTGTGTTTTTAAATTCTGTGTAGGGTATTGTTCTTCGAGTTCCTTGTTGTTCAGCAGTCAGAATGACAGCGACTTAAGATGTTATGAGTGCATTTAAGCGGCACTCATGTTGTGGCGTTTAATCGGCATGAATGACAACATTTTACTCTGAAGTCATCTTCTCCATGGCACACTTGAAATTGAACAATAAGAGTTTTCCTCATGGAGCATGTCTTGCTAAAGCAATATGACTTGCATCTTGGAGTTGATGACATCGTTGCAATGCTGGTGAGCCTGTCTATTATTGTCAGACATGCAAGTAGATGTGTGGTAATGTAGGTAGGTCATTAGGTAGTGGCAGCAGACTGCCAATGCGATTATGTACCTGGCCCTGCACTTTTAATGTGGGCATGTAACTAGATGTCGGGATGAGTTGGTTGGTTCCTTAAGATGTGATTTGGAAGCATGAGTTATGGCTTGTATTGTTCTTTCGGAAATGGCTTGTATAGGTAGTGTTGGCAGTTATGAATACATGAATCGGTTCGGAATGGTCATTAATTGTAGGCAGCTGAACCATGGTACAGTTGCAGCTTAGCCCTGGAGGGTCTCCTTTTCATCCAATTGCGTGCAAATAGCTGCAAGCAGTAGACATGGAACCAATAGCAACTAATAGATCAGAAGTGTTAATTAAGTGAGGAATGTATGGAATAGAAGAGTTTTCGTCTTGACTGCAGGGTAGGCACCTGGTTGCAGTCATTGTAGTGCTGTTTGCAAGCTGCCTTGGTGGACTGGAGTTTGATAATTTGTTGTGTCAACAGCCACTTCTGCTCAGGGTTGCGATTTCCGCACCAATTTCCGCAAACATGCTGTTTTCGACCGCATTTTGCGGTAGTTTCTGTGACCCTCTTCCGCACAAATTTCCGCAATTTGCGGTGATTCCTGTGAAGACTTCCGCAAATCGTGACTTCGATTCCCGCCTTTCTCGGTGCCGTACTCGCGCGGTTGGCGCACATATCTTGTGTATGCCCATTTGGCTCTGCTGACTTCTGGAAAAAACGATATGTATATATGAACTATGGATTCCTGCATTCAGACAGCGTTGTTGGTGCGCACGAACTGTGAAAAAATCAATGAGAGCCGCGAGCTCTTGTGCGTCGAAGTACTTGTCGATGCCGTCGATGAAGCACACTTGCCACAAGTACACGACGCCACCGTTGACATGTTTGTCGCCGATAGGAATCCCTACGGTTGCATCTTTCCAGATCGACGCAACCCCCGGCGCTGTGCTCAGGCCCTTTTGCCCAGCCCCATGATGTCTCCTAGCGTCTGCCATTCGGAGCCCTCGCAGTACTCGTAGCGACAAAGGAAAAACAAAAAACTGTAGCATTTTCTTTATTCATATTCTGTCGATATGCAAAACTATTCATCGTCGCTCAGATTGCAGCGCGTTGGGAAATCCACTGGCAATTTTGGCCAAGCGCTCAGATACCCACGCTGTTTTCGATACGCTCAGATACACACGCGTTTCCGCTCAGGTAATATCCTCGTCCAGCGTACGCTCATTTGCCTCTGTCGTAGCTACTTTATACCTCCTGCGAATATATACACTTTACTGCTAACGATTAAAACTCTGGCGCACAGGTCGGTCGGCTGTGAGAGGGCTTTCTCTCTGCAAAACAACATCAAGCCCGAGGAGTGGTTGCTCCTCTCGTGCAAGCAGTTGAACGCGCTTATAGTTTGCGCCCGCGACAAGCCAAAACTCAGCATCTTTCACGCCGAAGACGACATGAAGCGCTGGAAGAATGCTAAGAAGTGAAAGTACATGTGCTCGTAATCATGGCTCCGCATTTGAATAAAGTATGTGGTTCTTGTGCGGAAATGCGGAAATCATATATTCATTCCAATCAGTAACTCAAAGCCCTACGTGATGCTGGGCCTTGCATGTATCCTTTCCAATAGAACGCATTAACATGTTGTTAAAAGCGCGCGGTCATAGGAGTAGTCTTTCCACCGTTTGCGGTTGACTTTAGCAAAAATGCGGGAAAATTTGAACCCTCCTTCCGCATTTTCCATGCGGAAATCGCAACCCTGCTTCTGCTGTTAGTTTTCTGCGTAGCTTTTTGCTGTTGAGTTGCATTCGCTGTAGGTCTAGGCATAGCATCACTGGTCGCATGCTGTCTTGCTTCTTGCTGTACTGGAGTTTCATAATCTGTAGGTGCAGCCATCGCAGCAATGGCAGCATACTGTCTTGCTTCTGGGTGTTCAGGAATGTCATCAATAAGTGCAGCACTGGCAGCATGCTGTTTTTTTTAAATCTTACATGTTCAGGAGATTCATTAGCTGTAGGTACAGCAGAGGCAGCATGCTGTCTCACTTTTTGTGTTCAAGAGTTTCATTAGCTCTAGGTGCAGCCATTGCAGCACTTGTACATATGGCATCAATTATTGTAATCGGCTTTGGTGAAGAGAAGTGCACGTTTTCCACAAGGAACATTTTAGGTTTAGGTAAAAGTTAAAAAGCAGAGAAAGGGTAAATAATGATTGTGTGAGTGAATGCTATATCGAGATTGTTAATGAAATGATAGTTGAATGTGTGATCGTTGTAGGAATGTGAAGACATAACTGCAAAGGAAGGAAGTATAAGGCTGTAAGTTGCTGGAGGGAGTAATTGTTTGTAGTGGGTAAGAATAGTATGTGTGTGGTGGTGTGTGTACATCTCTAATTATGGAAAACGCGAGTGTGTTTATGTGCATGCTTTTTATTCCTTACGAGGCGATGTAGACTTTATGTATTTAGTCTTGTCTGTTGTATAGCGTATATGTTGTGTAGAAGGTGGTCGGCAGTGCTTGTACGTAGATGTAGATATTTTCAAATAGTATATAGTTTTTTATAAACATTGCAGTATGTTAGAGGTGAGCCGTGCGTGTGCAGAGAGGACATTATTAAGGAGCCGGAAATGGATGCATTTGGTGGCAACTATATGAAATGTCATGTGTTTGTGTGGAAAACCGGAAGTAGTGATAATGCCCCAGGCTTTAACACATGGCGAGAGAGAGGGGGGTGAGGAGCGATGGGAGGGGGGGGACGCAACGGCGGGTGGTTGGAGTTTCCAGGTTTTACTTATGTTGAAGGTTAGCAGGTAAGCTAAAATCAGTGCGAAAAACACCGACTCAGCCGTGAGTACGGATGTAAAGCTTGGGGTGTGTAGGTTTCATGGTGTTGGTGCAATTAGGTTCAAAAGAAAACAAACACCCACAAAGTCTGTTTTATTTTTCGATTTAAAGCTTTCGTGACTGCAGGGATTCATCTTCTTGGTTCTTTCGGTAAAGTCACGTAGAAGGAAAATAATAATATATAATATTAATAATATATAAAATAATAATAATTTCACTAATTTAGTTTATTTGGAATACAGTACAGTACTTTTTGGTTTTTTCGGTAAAGTCATGTAGGTAGAAATAAAATAAAACAAAGCTTCAAATCAAGAGTACAGTACTTATTTCAATTGTGATGTTTTATATTTTAGTTTGCCGTTTACATAACCCCATTATTTAGGTAAGGCTTAAGTACTGAATATCGCCGTTTTTGCTTTCGCGCTGCACTTTCCAAAAATGTAATCTTCGGACTATTTAAGGTGCTCCAGTATTTTCTGTCCATTGGGTACAGCACAGGAGTACGAATTATCAGCAGAAACTAAATGTATGTTTTCTTGATTTAATTAAGGCCTATGGTACTGTAAATAGGCTTGGGGCTTTGGGTTGTCTTGGTTGTCAATGTCTCAGCCTCTGCTCATATTCGTTGAGGATTTTTATGATTTTCTGCCGGCCCGGCTAAACCTGTGTGATCAGGAGTTGGAGCCCTTTCCTGTTCAACTTGGCTTGTGACGGAAATTCGGTCTGGCCCCATGCATACATAGCATCTTCAATAATTATGTAGTTTGAGAAGCTCACAATGGCCTTATAAAAACAAAACTGTCAGTCTATAATGTAGACTGTCGCCTAAAAATGAAAACAAGTTTTTTTCAGTCTACAGTCTACATTATTGACTGCCAGTACACTCACCAAGGTTAAGAACCAGGCTACAGTCTACATTATACACTGCTAGTACGCTCACCAAGGTTTTGTTTACATTATAGACTGCCAGTACACTCACTCCGACTAAGAACCAGGCTACAGTATTTATATATTTTGTATTCACTTTATTGTTATTATTTTTCTATTTACGTGACTTTACCAAAACAACCAAAGAGTATAGACGTGCAATTCGCATATGACTGTGTATATATGCATTCCTCTGTATCTTGATACTGATGTAGATGGTGTGGATATTTTTTTTCTGTCTGCAGCTGACGCTTCCTTTTTGCTCTGCAGAATTGATCTGATGGAGCAAAGGCACTCACCACAGCTCAGTACAAAAAGGCATCAATGTGACCAGTGTGCATACAGGACGGATCGTCCTAGAAATCTGACACAGCACCAGAGAACACACACTGGTGAGAAGCCCTTCAAGTGCACTGTGTGTTGGAAGTCGTTTGCATGTTCAACACATCTTCGGATCCACCAGAGAACTCACACAGGAGAGAAACCATTCAAGTGCACTGTGTGTTTGAAGTCATTTGCACAGTCAACACATCTTCAGATCCACCAGAGAACGCACACAGGAGATAAACCCTTCAAGTGCATTGTGTGTGGGAAGGCGTTCGCACTTTCATCTGCTCTTAAAAATCACCAGAGAACACACACAGGAGAGAAACCTTTCAAGTGTGCAATATGTAAAAAGGCATTTGCACGGTCATCAGTTCTTCAGACCCACCAGAGAACACACACGGGAGAGAAACCCTTCAAGTGCACTGCGTGTGACATGGCGTTTTCACAGTCATCAGCTCTTCAGACCCACCAGAGAACACACACGGGAGAGAAACCCTTCAAGTGCACTGTGTGTGAGATGGCATTTTCACAGTCATCAGTTCTTCAGACCCACCAGAGAACACACACGGGAGAGAAACCCTACAGATGCACTCTGTGCGGGAAGACCTTTGCAGAATCATCTACTCTTAAAATACACCAGAGAACACACACAGGCGAGAAACCCTTCAAGTGCAGTGTGTGTGGGAAGGCATTTTCAGTTTTATCTAGTCTTAAACAACACCAGAGAACACACACAGGAGATAAACCTTTCAAGTGCACTGTGTGTGATAAGGCATTTGCACGGTCATCAGCACTTCAGACCCACCAGAGAACACACACAGGTGAGAAACCTTTCAAGTGCACTGTGTGTGAAAATGCATTTGCACGTTCATCAAACCTTCAAAGACACCAGAGAACACACATGCATTGGAACACCCCCAAAGAGTGGAGTCTGAAATCGGGTTGTGAAAGTCAAAGTGCTGCAATGAGCCCATCCCTCATGAAACAAGAACCAGAAGTAAATCCCAGTTTGGACACTTTGAAAGATATCAAGGTGAAATATGAAGAGGCAAAGGTGAAATGTGAAGTGACAGTGAAGAGCGAAGAAGTGAAAGTAAAATGTGAATATGAAGATTCAACTCCAAAATCGGAACTTCACATCGATGGAGGCAACGTGAAGCAGGAGGAGAATTCTTACTCTGATGCAGAGCGAGGCAACTCCCAGAAGTTTGTGGAAGTGGAGGTGTGGCTGGACTTCTTAGACAATACAAAGTCAAATGGAGACCCGGTAGATGTGTAAGCTTGAGACAATGAAGCTCCAATAGATTCACCTTTGTCACAGGCCTTTAATGAAAATAATGTGAAGTTGAACACTCAATTCCTAGGTTCAACCTGCAGAGTAAGAGCGGATAGTATTTGTGGACCTGTGGGTTGTGTAGATCTCTAACCAGGAGCGAGGGCCAATAAGCTCCCAAGCATTCACTATGTTATAATAATAATATTTGAATGTATATGGTGCTTACCTAATTGCCTCAGCAACTCGGAGTTTCATATCATATCTCATCACAAACACTCAAAGAGCACCCCCAAGTGGCAGCTGCCTCTTTGTGGCATAAGCTGACCCTGCACCAGCCTGCATGTGAGCAATGGTCTATCAGTAGGGGGCGATAATTGATGTGTAATCTCTGATTTGAAATTTTTGGATAATGTTTGGAATTACCCAAATTTTCACCATGACACCAACATGCAATGACCTAGGCGTTTTGAATGACAATAGTATGTTTTACATCCACTGTTAAGCAGACGGTGCATATTTTGGTTAATGTTACTAGAGTAGCCAGGGGTGCCTCTCGGATTTTAACATTGAACATCTGAAATAAATAGAGAATGCACTACCACTTGGCTTCCATCAATCTGAGTGTAGGCATGCCTGCCTGAATGTTTCTAACCAGTGCAGATGTTCCATTAAGGGGGCACGTTTCACATGCCTATGGAGGGGATGTCATGAGTGTGGAAGGGATGTCATGAGTGTGGCCGAGAAGACCCGAAGTTTCGTGTGGAGCAACAGACCAGGTAGCTTCCACAAAGCATTGCGCGGCTGTTGCAAAGATAATGCCGCCCGATTGATGCGGACCACCCACACAGTGTACACACATACGCAGTGTATACTTATTGTGTACACAGTGTGCCTACAAGGTGTACACGCCATGCACATACAGATCGTACACACACACAGTGTATCCACACAGTGTACAAATACAGTGCATGCAGTGTATACACGTAACAACTGCCATTCGCGACTAAGTGGCGGTGACGTCACTGGGTTGCCTGTGCCAGGCTATGTGCACGTTAAGGCCACATGAAGTGTTGAACGCCCGCCGACAGGAGTTCACGGGGCAGACCCAGGTGCCATGGTTCGACTGAGATGATTGGCCGATGGACCACCTGTGCCCCCTATTGTGTTAATATTGTTTACAATTTCTTTGGGTATTTCGGTAAAGTCACTCAAAACAAAAACATTTATTAAAAAAACTACGACGTTTCGATCGCAACACAAGCAATCGTCATCAAGGAAATAATAAGCGGAAAGCTGCTGAGGCAGGCTGTTTTAAGGTGTAATGAGACAGTGACATCTACTGGATGGAAAAGGGAAGCACGGGTACAGGCACCATTATGAACATCCAATCCCCAAAGGGAGAGGTATCTAGGCCAAAGGTGAAGGGTGGGGCCGGCCGAGAAACTCCGAGAACTGGCTAGAAAGTTCCACGAGAGGGTGTGGCTGGAAGATGAGCCTAGCCATGCCTGCGGCAATATAAGCGGAGGCGGAGCAGGACTCGGGGTCGGTATGTGGAGTTTTGGGTCCGGACTGTGTTGCTGCTCGCCGTCATCTCTCTCTGTCATTCGACCACGTGGCGGATCTCCTGCAGAGTTCCATCGCCCTCCCAGGCATGCCGTCAACCAGTGGCGAGACCGGGAGTGGACAGGCAGAACCTGCTGTGTGATCAACCGTGTGTGTAGTGTAACAACATGAATATTCAAGTGTGTACTCGGACAAGGAGAAGATAATGTTAGCTGTGTGGTGCCCGATTGTGAAATAAAGAAGAGTATCCTCTACACGACATGTCGCGGAAGTCGCTCATTACAAAGGTTTGAAATGGGTGGAGCCCATTGGAAGGTAGGATGGAAACATCAAAGCCAGTGATGTTTCGATCGCAACACAAGCAATCGTGATCAGGAAAAAGGGGGAGAAAGCTGCTTCGGCAGGCTGTTTTGAAGGTTTGAAATGGGTGTAGCCCAAGGGTCATTAACGAAGTGGGCAGGGCTAGTGATGTTAAAGTGAGAAATTTGCATGTCAATGTAAGATCGCAGAGCCGCCGCCACATCGAGGACACGAGCGACGGTGGCTGTGTTAGTGTGAGACATTTAACCTGTTAATGTAAAATCAGAGAGTCGAAAATAACTGATAACATCGGAAGGTAGGATGGAAACATCACAGCCAGTTATGACTTAAGCTGGTTAATAACGTCCTTCCAATGATTGGTCAGTTTGTACCCATCTTCTCAGTTGAAATTGTGTCTGTCTATATATCTGGATGGCTTCATGAACGAATATTTGCTGATAGCCAGTGGGTTTGCAGAGTACCTTCGTCTTGGAAAAATCTATTTCGTGTGGGCCCACAGCATTAAAACAATGATCAGCCACGGCCGAGGTATTGGTCCTACCGTGTTTCACATCTGCCTTATGTTCACGAACACGGTCCGAGACATGACGCTTAGTTTCCTCAATGTAACTACTGCAGCAGGCACAGCTTAGTTTGGAGACGCCGGGATATTGCATGTCGGGGATCACATTCTTCACAGAAGGGATCAGATCACGAATATTAACTGTGTTAAATCGAACCTGGATCTTGTGTTTGCTCGTGATTTTGGAAATCTTTTTTGTGACCCCTGCTATGTATAGCAAGGTGATGGTTTCGATTGGGTCCTCAGATGGTTGTTTCCCAACGGTTGGGGTGATAAATTTACGAATTGTGTAGTCTGAATATCCATTCATCTTGAGGGCTTGGTGTACGTGTTCCAGTCCACTGGCTAGGTGGTGATGGTCGGAAATACATCGAGCTCTATGGTGTAGAGTTTTGATGAGGGAATTCTTCTGGGATGGTGGTAGGAGACAGGTTTTAGGTAGGCATTCGTATGGGTGGCTTTCCTGTATAAAGAGTGTCCCATTGAGCCATCTGGTCTCTTTCCGTTAAAACACCCAAGAATGATAACTTGCCATCCTTTTCCACCTCCAGGGTGAATTTGATGGCTGTGTGTATGAAATTGATGTGGTTGACGAATTGGTTCAGAGCTGGTAAGCCATATGTCCAGATGACGAACGTGTCATCTACGTACCTCTTCTACAAGGACGGACGTAGAATGGATGCCTGGATGGCATCTGTCTCAAAATGTTCCATGAACACATTGGCTACAACTGGAGATAAGGGAGAACCCATTGGGGTACTTTCAACTTGTTTGTAGAATGTTCTATTCCAGGTGAAGTAAGTGTTGGTGACGCAGTGTCTAACCAGGGCCGGTACATCAGCATTCAGTCCTTGTTGGACCAAATGTTCAATGATTACAATGGTGTCAGGCACAGGTACTTTGGTAAACAAAGAGACTACATCGAAACTAACAAGCACATCACCTGAAGATAGTGAGGTGTCCTTAATTAACGATACCAAGTGAGCTGAGTTAAGTACAGCTGAGGTGGTCTTACAAGTGAATGGTTGTAAGGTCTCAGACAGAAATCGGCCAGTTTGTAGGTGGGTGAGTCAATAGTGGAGACGATATGACGAAGGGGTGTACCTTCTGTATGGATTTTTGGTAAGCCATAAAAATCTGGGTGGTCTAGCAGCAGAGGATTTTAACGAAAGCCGCCGAGTTGGTTCGATTAAAGATGTCAAATCAGTGATGATATTGTTGGTTTTCATAACCAGGCTGTTGGTGGGATCTATTGATTTGGTACAGCTACCATCATTAAGTAGGTCCCTAATTTTGTTATTGTATGTGGTTTTGTCCATTGTGACAATGGCATTGCCCTTGTCGGCTGATAGGATGATGATGGCATCTCTCTTTTTTAATTGAAAAAGCTCAAAGTGCTCATCCTTACTGATGTTGCTGATACGTGTCTAAGCGTTTTTGAGGATTGCAGCGTTCCCATCTTGCCATGCCTGCAGGAATGTGTCCCAAACCCTTAAGGGCTACGTTGACCTGGGCAATGATATCATCAACTGGGATGTGTTTCAGGGTGACTGCGAAATTCAACCCTTTAGCTAGAACCAATTTTAGGCTATTGGAAATTGGACTGTTACTCTGTTATGTTATCTCCATGATCCCAATCAGATGTAGACATCTTTTCTGTCAATGTTAAGTGTGATTGCAAGAGGGTCTTGTCTAAATTGTCTAGTTCAAATCGGAGCAGTCTTATTCTCTTTGAGAACAGGGCTTGGCCGGCCCTGAACAAGATCCGTTTAGCATTAGGAGAGGTGACAGCAGCAGATGTGAGTGTAAAGGCGATCAGTATTACCTTAGTGTCCCTGCATCTCTTCAGAAATGTGAGCGACTCGATCAGATGAGCCTTCTTGTCTCGAAGGTTGTTGAAATATCTAATAGTTGTGTGAAAACCCTCCCTTTCATATTCTTTGAGTCTTTCGGTAAAGCCACATAGATATAAAAATAATAAAATTAATACAAATAATAACAATCACGACGTTTCGATCGCAACACAAGCATCGTCATCAGGTCGAACATATAGCGGGAGAGCTGCTGAGGTAAACAAAGATACCACATCGAAATTGACAAGCAAATCACCTGGAGATAGTGAGATGTCCTTATCTCCAGTTGTAGCCTTGTTTTCATGGAGAAATTTGAGAGAGATGTC